AGGAATCAGCCAACCTGGCGTTGCCGGCCCTTTTGAAAGGAGTAAGCTCGTTTCTTGAAGGTCCCTAAGTCGCATCGGTCCGAAAAAATCATCCGAACAATTCGACTATTATTTTATAATAGGTACATAATTTTCCTTGAAAGTAAAAAAATTATGAAAACTGGTATAAGATGAAGAAAACGTCGATTCTATCTTTTAAGTGTTATTAATTTTTATAGTCTGTTTATAACGATTTTAACTTTCTAGTGCTTTTGTTGAAAAAAAATCACATAACATTTATAAAAAAAAAACATCTACAATTTTATACCATCAAATGGATTGCGGCCAATAGACCGTTACAGTAAATAATATTTAAATAGCCCTATGTTAGATGAAGCTGTGAGAGCCGCATGGGCTAACAACGCTAACATCACAGAAAATAGAGTAAATAACATTATCATTTCTAAGGACTAAGACGGGAAGCCCCACACTCAGTAAAAAATAATTAAATCCTTTGTCACCTCGATCCCTGGTGAAGAAAAAATAAATAAAAAAAATCTTAAATATTCTGTTCGTTTTATCTTTTAAATTCAAAATGCGTGGCAATGCATTATTTTAACTGATTTTCGCATTCGTAAGGGTCGATCGGGAAAAAATCACATTTAATCTATACATATAATAAAACTGTAAATAGCAGATGTCTGTACATTTTATATTTTTGTAATAAAAGTGATTGAGGGGTACTAAAAATAAGTAATTAAATACATTTCTACCATTTTTAGAATTTTCTGTCTGTCTGTCTGTCTGTTTGTTTGTTAACGTATCACGTATAAAGTACTAATTTATATCATAAGAATTGTTAAGGAAATTATAAAGTGTATCTTCGGGTTACATTTAGTCTTTATTTCATTAAAATCAGTTCATTCTATCAAAAGTTATGATAAATATTCTGAAGTATGGGTAGGGAAGTATAGGTACGAATTTGCTCAACGGTGGCTTTGTTTGAGTCATCAAGTGCATTTTAAACTAATATCATATCATAAATCATGGTTAAATTATGTAAAATAATGATATAATTATGTATATCTAAAACGCAGTAAACAAAAGTATTAAAAAACGTATTAAATATATTATACAAAAATATATTAACCTTATTAGCTAAATCTGAAGCGCAATAGTTTTCCCATTTCTTCGATAGATGGTGGTGTTGTGAAAATGTAATGCAATTGCAATGTTTTTTTTTCCTGTAGATGAGTTTTCATATTTACTGCTAATCTTTATTATATTACTCGCTGCCCTACTGCGTGTTGATAAACTCAATTTATTCTTTACCGCCGAGTACTCTATGTGGTAAATCAAATTTTAAAAGAGCTATTAACAAATCGTTGGTTTTGGCGAGAGTCAAACTTTATTTTTTGCTTTCTGTGCAGACACTGATTTATAAGTACTCTTGCGTTTTATATAATGTATCAAACGCGTCAATTAATCTCTTTTATTTTTAGAATTGATGTTAGCAGCGCCATCTCTCTTTAAATATATACATATAATAAAAATGATGATAACATATTGTGTCTCTTTCTGTACATTGTATAGGTATATATTTTGGTGGCTAAAATCATTATGGGGAACTGAAAATAATTAAATAAGAACATTTTATAATTTTTAGAATTGTCTGTATGTCTATTTGTCTGTTATTATATGAACGCATCACGTCTAAAGTAAACATCTTTTATTTTCAAAGAAATCGTTAAGAAAATCATAAAGCGTATCTTCGAGTTACATTTAATCTTTGTTTTATTAAAATTGGTTAATTCTATCGAAAGTAATGATTATTATTTTGAAATGTAGGTTCGAATTTGTTCAATGGCGCCATAAAATCTCAGAAATAGTAATAAAAAGATTTGTGTGTAAAAAAAACGTTCCATAATAATTAATATATTTATACTTAAAACACAAAAAGAGATTTAAAAAGGATGTTTTCTCACACAAAGGACGTAATAGATGGAGTTGTACAAATTACAAACTTTTCTGAATTGCTGTGTTGAGATTTTTCGCCGATGAATCGTATTGAGACTTACTGAAGAAATTTGTATCCATCGAAGCCATACAACGGAATCCGACCAAAAATAAAAATTTTGCAACGAAATGTCGTGATATTGTATTTATAATATACGCAAAATCAGTACTGCCACTTTAGCGCTTTGGGAACTAGATTTAGCGCTTTTTTGGAATGAATAGCGCGCATTTCGAAATTTTAGCCCTAGCTTAATTCAGCGCTTTTTGGTGTATTTAGCACACATTTCAATATTTTAGCGACTAGCGGGTTATTAACTCTTTTATATCAGCACTGTTAGTTCACATTACCGATAATAATAATAATGACCTTTATTATTTTTTCCCACAAATAGTACATTGCAGTTTATCTTTTTCAAACATATTTTTTCCACAAAACAAAGAGCATGGGAGACGAGTCCAAACTAGGATACCCTGTGCTATGGATCTCCTGGCTTCCCCTTTAGGATGATCAACTTGATTTTTTTACCGACGACTATAAGCGGGGAAACCCCTTTATTAAAGTTTTTGTTCATGGTTTTGGCAACGCATTTATTTTGCTTTATTCAGTTTCAGTCAGTTGCTTAGAGCACAGCTAAGTTAAAAGTTACTTAGAAGTTATAACACAAAGAAACTGTGTAGCAACCGCAATCAGATGCTGACATCTGAAACTAAGTTGCGAAATACATTGCACTTTAAAACAATTAATGACATTTTTATTGTTCGTACAGTACTAACTACTGTTGACAGCAATTGCCATAATTATAAGTCGATGTCCTGCGAAGTATTGATACATCAAAAAAATATTGCCAGAAAAAAAACTTAATGTTGTTTTCTTTATTATGATTATATAAAAAAACACAAACTTTGTTTGTAGTTAATTTAGCGCGAAATCTAGGGCTTTTTAAAGCGCTGTTTTCATGAAATCTAGCACTTTTTGTGTTGTCCTAGAGTTGAATTAGTTTTCTTTATCTGGCAGCACTGCCCAAAAACCCTCTATTAAGAAGTAACTTTCCTTTCAGTTTTAAGCGCGTTCAGTTCCCAGTTACAGTGAGCGTGTGTTATGCGATGACCGTAAATAAAGCGCAAGGTCAAACTTTACGCGTTGTAGGAGTGTACCTCAGTACTGACTGTTTTGCACATGGCCAACTCTATGTTGCTTTTTCCCGCGTTAGTAGCCCCCGTAAACTTTTAGTGTACACCCCGGCTAAGCCTACTTCTAACGTTGTTTACACAGAAGCTCTATCATAAACGACTTAGAACTTTGATGATAATGATTTATTTAGTTACCACTTATTGATACAGTAATGAAATAAATCGTTTAATATTCTCTTACCTAAACGACAAATTGTTTATGTAAAACCTGTATACGCGAGCTACGTCGCGGGCACAGCTAGTTTGGAATAATTTAAAATCCTTATTTACTCGTATTTGCAAAAACTGCAATAATGGTATATCATTATTTATATATTTGAACTAAGTATATAAGTTTAAAATTTGTCTACTCTTTGAAACATAACCCTGTATAGGTTCACGACGCTTACAGATAAATAAAATAAAATTCGCATACACACCACACAATTGTGACAAATTCACAATTATTTTTTATAAATTAGCATTTATTTACACACGCTATTTGGTTTGTTTCAGGGCGGCGCGGCTGCGCAGCAATAATCTGTGGTGGTAAAGCGCACCCTGGAGCCGCACACGGACCTATGTAAGACACTATATTATTTTATCCTCCACAAATTCACAATTCATGATCTTTCTAGTACTTTCCGATCGGCTCGATTCACTGGCGCTACAAAGTGATGTTACATCCCTTTGCATTTTCTGTCGCATTAACCACGAGGGTTGCTCGTATTAATTCCAGCCACCAGATACCAATTTTTTTATAGAATAAGGGTGACAAACGAGCCCACAGTCCACCTAATGTAAGTGGATGCTGTGCCCCATAGACATCTACATTTATCCTTGATTAAGAATCAAAATGCAGATGTGTTATCACACTTGAGGACTAAGATAGAATGCCTAGTTTCCAGTAAAAGGGGTCTCCGGTTCTCTACACTCACCATACGAAGCACAGCAGCATTGAGGTTCTATTTTACGCTGGTATTCTGTGAGAGCGTGGTCCTATCCCGGTCGAGCCGACCCATTCGCGCTACAACCATAATATACCTGCAGCTTGGCTCTACCATGTTTAAAAAATATCGCACATCGCGACTAAATTCATGATACGAGTATATTCTACAGACGTTTTAAGAATCGATGACAAAACAATTATCTCATGACCATGAACTAGTATTCTCACTAGGAGTATCACAGCTCATGATTAAAAAGTGTTTCTTAAGTTTTTTTAACCCTAAATTTATTAAATGTCCACAAACAATATAATTTTTCAATAAATACATGTGCGTAGATGTTACATCAATTTAGATTGAATTCGAATTTGCTGTAATTTCCTTATCGATTTAAATTAGAAAACTATTTAAAACTAAGTATTTTGGGTCTGACAGAATAGAAAAGGTATCGATTAAAACCCCATAATTCACATTTCATAAGCTAAGCAGTGTCTTACGTCATAGACAGTTGTTTGGACAATATTTTTTAGATTTTTAGTTTTGTAAGAGAGTTTTCGTTAAAATATGAAAAAAAGCTCGTACACTACTAAAAATCTAAAAAAACTAGTTTCCATAGCAAAGTAAAATCTAAATGCATTTCTAAGTGCACACACTGCGACATATTCGTATTCGTACGTAAAAATAAAGGTAAATTGAAATTAATAGGAATCGATTATGGCTTTGCGGCAGCAAACTGATGACGAATGAGTTGCACCGAGTACTATCCGTCATCTGTAATAAATACCGTGGAGTAAGGTAAGATACAATTAAGATGAGAAATGTATACAACATTATAAATAATGGAAGATTACCCGGTGTGCGCAGTGGTGCGGAGGGCGCGGCGGCACAATGGACGACGGTGGCAGCAACAAGCAGCGCCAAGCCACGCGGGTCTTCAAGAAGAGCTCGCCCAATGGAAAGGTAAATGTAGAAAGTTATTTTTAACTATTTTAGTTAGACATAGTTTTCTTAAAATAAAACGAATTAACGTATTATTTTCGTATCTGTAATCATTTGATTTGTCATTTTTTTTGTTTAATGAAATAATAACATTTCTGAGGACGTAGTACGTAGTACCCCGTAGGTTGTAGTAAATTAGCATAACAAACTGAGATTGACTATTTCAGTAGCGCTGAAGAATTAATTCGAGGTGAACGCTTAGTAGAAAAATAAAGTGGGCGAACAGCGCCTGACCTATAACTGGCTGATTTCATTAAATCATAATGTAGAGAAAAGAATAGCTACTGCAATGGCTATTCTTGACAATCAAATCACGATATTAGATACTTATTGAAACGACTTTGGTAGACTTTATGTAATTGATCTCCAGGATGAATTAAATTTAAAAATTGTTCAAGCCGTCATCATAAATTTTCCACGAATTATAAAGTTTGCGGAACCAAATTGCTTTTCGTTCTCTCGTAACACTTCTAAAGTTTTGGGATTTACATATATTTGAAGGTCAACGAGAAAAAAAGTCGTAAATCTTCTTAAAAATATTTAAATAGTTTTTTTTTAAATGAAAATTCTCTGAGGGCTAAGTACTATATTATATCTTGTTAGTTAAAAAAGCATTGAAAATACAATTTAAAATACTAGAAATGATTATGTTTAATAAATAAAAATGGAATTGTTAACTGTTGCACTATAGTGTTACTAAAGAGTAAGCTGTACATTACGATCGTAGCGAATTCCTCGCTTATTGGATACACTGTGAAATTTGTCAGGTTCATCGAACAGTAATGCCTGTTTATGCGATTCGTCTGCACGCAACTCCATAACGATGAGTTTGCGCACGCAACACTATACACTAGAGTCCTGCCCGGCTAGCATGGGCGGGGGACAAAAATTTTATCCCCCGATTATATCCACTGACAAGAGATAAAATTGTCTTGTTATGTCAAACGGGGAGAAGTATATCCCCGTGTGACATAACGAGTATATCCCTCGTCCGTAGCATGGAGCCAAATGAAAGATAAAAAACTATGCTTTTTTGACATTTGAAAGGGACGATTTTATCCTAGTTCATTGGACGTGGGTTGAAGTTTACATTCATACAAAAAATCTATCTAAGTCTAAGTCTATCTCCCAATTTAACTACTGTGGATATTATATCCACCGGTGTGCCCATGCTCTAAGGGTGGATAAAACTAAGCGAGGGGATAAACATTTTCTTCTTTCCCCGGGGATAAAATTGTCTCCTGCCCATGCTAGCCCTGCTGGGATGATATGTTAAATAATTTGTTTGCTCTAGCTATTTAGGGTTAGACCTTTGAGGTCTAGACGTTAACAGGCATAATTTTTGGGGCGAAAAAATTTGAAAGGTTACTTACCTGTATTCTAAAACCGATTGTATTTCATCCTACCGTAACAACAAAAAAAATATTGTGATTAAAGGATAACTAATAAGATAAAGACAAGACTATAAGATAAAGATAAGAACCTAGTAGAGTTATTTTTAATAAATACAATTTTTAAACAATACTTTATTCTAAAACCGATTGTGTTTCAGTTTACCTTACAAAAACAAACTTAAAGCCATACGAGTATTGAGTTGAGCTTGGGCCTAATGTGCCATTCAACTTAAACCTTATAAATTTTGTTTTTATTAGTCTTATTTATTACTACCAAACCAGTTATAGCTAGAGTTATATCAGGTTAGGGAAATAAGTGCTCGTTGTAAATTTCATAATACGCGAGCAACCCTTGTTCGTTACCCGCCTGAACCACAGAAATTATTGACTACAAGTTTAGTTGATAATATCTTGAGAAAACCGGCATGTGAAATCCTCCAATACGTACTGGGGTAGCGTGGGGAACTGTCCCACAATCCTTCCTCTCATAAATGAAGGGAGGCCAGTGCCCAGCAGTACCACATGTTTAGGCCGTTACCTTACTTTTTTAACACTTAAATCTCAATATCACCATATCCGACTTCACAAGCACTAACCCAGTACTTAAAGTAAGTAAACGATGGTGCCTGCCCGACTGTTTCCGAAATTGGTAACGTCTTTCGGATATTATCAGTACATACTACGTAGGATGTATTATAGGACCGTTACTGATGCGCCAGCACAGAGGTCAGTTTGAGCCCGCGGCGTAGGAGACACGGCAACAATTAACACAATTTCAATTTTCACTTGGCGTTTTGAAGAAGCAAAAATGAATCCGCGCTAAGGAAATGTAATCTCACATGTAGATGTCCGTGTCGTCGTCTAGGTAATGTTTAAAAAAAAAGATACGGGGCCAATGTCCAGGAGTCAACCATTTACGGGTGATATAAACATTATAAATAAAGACTAAATAATAGTAAGTAAGTAATGTTTATATAATCCCACTTCAGGACCTTTACTTATTTCGGGGTGGGTATTAGAGCCAGGGCCGCGCCGACCCCCCACAGCGCCTGTGTGCGAAACCTATGAAGCGCCTCTTTTTTCACGAATCTTCATGTTTCAACTTATGTTTTTTTTTTATTATTTGTTAATTTTGACCGAAATAAATGTTCTCCAGTTTTATATACTTAGATAATATTTTCCTAAATAGGTAAAACCAGTTCGCTGACGCTTGCCAATTACTGCGAAAAGTAAAACACGAATTTAATTTTTACATACTTTATTTATGATTTTATGTCTAATTGTTTATTTAGATATTAATAACAAAATAGCTGACTTTTCTAATAATACTGATTTAACTATTACGTATGCTATGTTTAAAAAAAACAATAAGAGTCTAAAATATGTAAGAATATAAACATACTTAAATTAGGTATATTATTTCCACTCTTCTCGCTTTTCTGTTTGCGAAATCCTTAATAATCTCGTGTATGTCTATATGGCCTCCGCTATAGATGTTGTTGCTAAATTTGTTAATCTTTCCTGGCTCATTGTTGAGCGCAGGTAATTTTTTATAAGTTTAAATTTAGAAAAGGACCTTTCCGCGCTTGCTACAGTAACTGGCATAGTTAGCTAAATTCGTAATGCCATGGTGATGTTAGGGCAAACAGCTGTCAAATTGTTTAAATATATAAATTCGAGAATTTTCACGACACCATTATTTAATTTCGTCTACGGAGCATTTTTGATCCATTATCATAGCCCTGTCCCCTTAAGTTGTTTATGTCCAAATTAATTTCGGCTAGTTTTTCTACTATAAATGACGTAACTCCAGCACCAGTTGTATCGATAATTGGACAAAAAGCTAGGAAATGCTCCCTTATTTCCAACTTTCTATTTTCTGTGTTAAAATAGACAAATCTTATTATAATACTAATTTGCTCCAGGTGTGAAAGGTCAGGTGTACAATCCAGTATTATTGAAAAATATTTATTAATTTGACATAAATTTAAAATAAAATGTTGAATTTGGTTACCGAGTATGTAAATTATTTAATTTTGGATCTTATCACCAAGATAAGTCGGCATATTTTTGAAATCCGAATCATTCGTTACGCGTCGTATATTTCCAGTCAATTTTCCTAATCAGTTCAATACATTTTATAAAATTACCATTGTTACGGTCGTATAATTTTTGGCTTTGGCGACGAAACCCATATTTTGTATACTTAGAAATTGGATCACATATATTATTCTTTTGATTACATCGTACCAGCGCTGCTTTTCAACCTCTAAAAGTTTTGCTTGAATACTATCAATAGTGTTTTTACTTTTAAGAGCGTGACATAAATCTGTCCATTTTTTATAATTATTGAAATGAGCAGAACTTTTCTCATGTCTGCTGCAATACAAAACTAGATGTTGCCAATCACTAATTCCCTCGCATAATTTATTGTTATGTTTTAATTCAAATAGCTTGCAACAGAAGCAATAAACGGCATTTTTGGACACTGAATACAGCAGCCACTCTCTGTGATACTTTTCGCCGTTTCCTAAATACCTTTCATAATGATACTCGGAAAATTTTCGCCCCGAAGAGTCACGCAGAAAATTATACTGTTTACTGTATTTGTTTAATCGGATATTCTATTAAATACTGGATCAAAGTAGCATTGAAAACTTTTGGCCAGAGTCCAGGGTCATCTTTGGAAAAAATCGGTATTGGTGACGATAATTGTCTTGGCTGTGACAGTGGTGTATCAGGCAGAGGCACGGACGTAACTTCGGCGGCGTCATCTTAAATTAAAGACAGACAAACAAAGACATTTGAGTACCTATCTACCTGTCTGAATAAACTGATTTATCTATCTATGAATAATGAATAATTATGTATGATAAAATAAATAAATAAATGAATATTTCTCGACAATCAAACTCCGCCGTCTAGTCCCAAACTGAGCAGGGCTTGTAATGAAATTTAATTTGAAATTTTAAAGAAAATGTTTTTTATTTTGACATTACAAACCGACTAAAGTTATATTTATTTGTAAGTATAGAAAATAACATAAAAAGCACGTACCTGAAGCGTTTTTTTTTAATCAGTTTTATAACATCTTCATCGATAAAATGACTGGTTTCTGTCTCTAATGATTCTTTGGAAGTGAATGGTAGAGCCGTAAAATATTTACTTATTTTAGTTGTATTTTATCACGTTTTTCTGCGCTTGTTTTCTTTTCCTTATTAAATTCTGGTAACCAGATAATTTCTTTTTTATCTTGAGTACTATCACTCATCGTGAAAACACGTTAAAATAATCCCTAACACACAAACTATATATTGTTTTTAGAGCTAGAATTTAATCTTATTATAAAAAATCAATGCGCACCTTGCACACACTTTCAATTGACTGATTGTTCAATTGTTTTGGCACTCTCGTTCCTTAAGGTCGGGGAATCCCCGTGACCCCACCCCGCTTGCGTCGCACGCATCGCATCGGGTTACGTTCATAATTCATTCAAACAAACTCACGGCGGTTCTTTTGATTTTAACGCTGAGCTCGTAACTAATGTTAACTAAAACCCAAAGCGTATAACTAAACCACACACGTGAATATTATCTCAGAAGACTTGTACAATAAGCGCATTATAATTATGTTTTGTTATTTACAAGGCATATGTTGCGCCTATTGTATCTACTTACTTATCGATACTCCACTACAAAGAATATGTTGTGTAAGTGTAACAAAAATAATTTCGATGGCGGCGCCTCTATTGTCTTGGCGCCTGTGTGCGCCGCACACTTCACACACAGAGGCGGTGTGGCCCTGATAGAATACACATACATACAACATACAGAAAACATAGTCTCGTGGGTGTTGTAAGAGGATGCTCTACCTCTTACAACACCCACGAGACTATGTTTTCGAATGTCGAAAATCGAATGGCAACGTCTTTCGGATATTATTATATTGCCCACAGTTTAGATTGCGCGGGATATATTATAGGGTCGCAATTGTTGCGCTAGCACAGAGGTGAGCTCGGACGCGCTGTGTAATTACAGAATAAATAAAATTAATTTAAACACATTTTATCGCATTTAAATTTCTACAGTCTTGAAACATTGCCTTAATAACATAAACATTTTAACCCAGCTTTAATGGGACAAATATTGTTTATAGTGTTACAAGTATTTAAAAAAAAATCTTTTAAATTTATATCTTTCAAAGCTCAAATCTAAAACTAAAGCTATTAAAGTTATTATGGTTCGTTTGACCTTAAGTACTTTAAGTACTTCAGTAAAGTTTGGTTAGCCTCGTCTATTGTGAATTTTCACCCGAACTACTTTTTTTTCTTGGCCATTCAAAAGATTAACCATTTTTTTTTGTATAAAAATCCCAAATTTGGTCCTTAATTTTCGTTAAATTTACTTCTACCTAATACTATCGTATAATTTATTTTCAGCGTCGCCTTGTTGAAATCCATTTAAGAAACTAAAAGTTTTTAGCTTTCATTGATTCGTGACTAGGCTACTAAGTAAGCCTAAGCCGCGGGAGTTTTAATTTTCTCCGTCGACAGTTTCTTAAGTTCTTACTTTATAATTTATATTTCGTTCGACAAATTACTTTTAATAACTTTTTCATATATATATTTATTATATGAATATTTTCCAGACCGTAAAGTTTCGAGTTTGATTATTACAATTATACAATTAAAACAAAAATGGAAAAATAAAATGTTAATAAGCTTTTTATAATTTACATAAAATTTAGGTGCAATCATATTTATTTTTCAGTACATTGGTACATATACCGTGTAGTGGCGGTGTAAGAATACCCACTACCCCATATCATCCAGTGGGTGTCGTAAGAGGCGACTGAGAGAAACAAATCAGGAGATGGACAGCCTTCCTAATAACGACTAAAAATAAAAAACAGGTTGCCAACCAGCTTGCCAAGCGTGGCTACTATGGCAAATATACACTATGAGGCAATCTATCGGGGAAGCCTTTTGTAGTAGTGGACTGTAATAGGCTGTAACGGTAACATACCTATAATATATTATATTTATGTAGTCTAAAAAACCTTACTCTGCACTGTCACAGTTTCTCTATAATATTTTTTTTTTAACTTACAGATCACAGTTTATTTAGGAAAAAGGGACTTTGTAGATCACATCACACATGTAGACCCGATTGGTGAGTATTTATTATTTTTACTAGTGGCTTGGTTTATCATTCTACAATAGTCTCTGTAATATTTAAATATGTGTATCTTGCCTGCCTATCTGCCTATGTACATTGCATTATGATTCTTTTGCTGACTTGGAGACTGGCTTTATTATTTAGTACTAACTTAAGTGTTTGTGCCGCTGAACAATAGTCCATCCACTGCTGTATTCCAGTATGAAGTGAACATCTACATTTATCTTCGTTTGCGAATCAAAACGCAGATGCGTTGTCCATGCGTGAGGACTAAGATGGAATGTCTCTTTTCCAGTAAAAAGGGTCTGCGGTTCTCTACACGCACCATACAAAACACAGCAGAATTAATCTGCTATTTTACGCTGGTATTCTGTGAAAGCGTGGTCCTTTCCCGGTCGAGCCGACCCATTCGTACTACAACTATATTACTAATATAGCTGCAGCATGGCTCTATTACGTAAAACTGTACGTACTGTTTGTTAGTCTCGCTAAAACTCTAAACTGGCTCGACTGATTTTTATGAAGTTTTTGGTGTGTGTTTGATTGGGTCCCTGGATGATTTACATTTACAATTGGACCCGAAAAGTGGCGCTGTTATAGAGATCCAGAAATCACCCGTGCGAAGCCGGGGCGGATCGTTAGTTATTTTATAAAATATGCATAAATTATACACTAAAAAGAATTTTCTAAAGAATTTCTTTAAATAATGAGCAAATCAGCTACAAAATATTTAAAGCAGTTTTAAAGTAGGTATTAAGTCAATACAGAAACTTAAGCGGATTAGAACCTTTTTATATTATCCGATGATTGTTTAATGTCATTTCATGTAAGCTGTACACCAAAATATTTGTCTGAATGGTGGTTTTTGTTTTTTAATTTACGAGCATCACGTGCCGTGTATGTTGTCTCGGTCATAAACAACCGGGAGATTTACAGCGAGAGATTTTATTATGTTTCAAAAGAAGAAAAACCCAAAATGTGATGATATATGTGCACTGTATATCTCGAGGCCTGGAAACGCCGTTTCAGTACCGCCATAATTTTCACTTGACGTTTTGACGAAGCAAAAATGAATCCGCGCTACGGTAATATAATGTTATATTTAGGCGTCCATGTCGTTGTAGGTAATGTTCACAGAGATTTTCCTTCATATTTATTGCAGCCTAAAAGTAGGAGAGGCCTATGTCCATGATTGCATAAAATTAAATACTAGCGATAAGATAAGATAAGAACCGTGGTAGCTCAGATGGTTAGCGCTCGCTGTAAATTAGTACGCGAGCAACCCGGGTTCGATCTCCGACGGCACCAATGAAATTTTTAATTACAATTTTAAGTGTGATTTACCACGTGCTCGGCGGTGAAAGAAAACATTGTGAGGAAACCTGCTTGTCTGAGAAATAAGAAAAAAAATATTTTCGAAGACATTTCCTTGCCCTAAAACCCTCTCAGGAATGAGAGGAGGCCTGTGCCCAGCAGAGGAACGTATATAGGCTGTAACATTAACTTTAACTTTAAATACTAGCGTTCCGTCTCGGCTTCACACGGGTGATTTCTGGGTCTCAGCAGCAGCGCCACCTATTGGGTCCAATTGTGAATCGTTTCGATCATCCAGGGACCCCCTCAAACACACAGAAAATTTCATCAAAATCGGTCCAGACATTTTGGAGTTTTTGCGAGACTAACGGACAGCAATTAATTTTTATATAGACATTAAAAATCAACATTTGACTATTGTTAGCAAATAACGTCTATAGAGCCCCACGTGAGGACATAAGCCTTCTCTTATTTCTGAGCAGGTATTATTGGTGCTTAATATGGCGGAAATCATTAAAAAATATGAAAAATTGGTTTTTTAGGGTTCTGTACCCAAAGGGTAACCAACGGGACCCTATTACTAAGCCTCCGCTGTCCGTCCGTCCATCTGTCTGCCAGCGAGCTATATCTCATGATTCGTGATAGGTAGACAAATAATAAAAATTTTAATAAATTAAAAATTAAAAGCGGCTCTCCAATTAGACACGTGTATTACGATAATACGGAACCCTTCATGCACGAATCCGACTCTCACTTGGCCGGTTATTTATGTTCTACTTATTTGCCTAGCTTTGTCACCCGGGTTATAGACTAAAGTACCTCACAATCTGTTACTGACTTCCTTACTCTTCAAACCTGAACAGTTTGTGTACTGCTGCATGATTACAATAAAAAGCGGGAAATCATCACAATTAAAGCGGTCTGTGCCCAACAATGGCTGCCGAAAAGCTAATGTTAGTTACATTCACGTATTTTAATTGTACTATTACGAGTATGAAGGTTGCGTTCGGAGATGAAAAACGTTAACAAATTAATTTAGGTATGTAACTGTGACATGAGATTGTCGAAATTGGACTTTTTCTAAACTAAACGTAAGCTTAATTTCGCTGTGTTACAATAACTTGTTGGTAATTTTAGATCCCAGGTGGCAGGACTACTTTACTGCTTCGGAGTCAATCTGGGTAGATTACCACTCTCGTACCTATTTCTGCCACTTATGGTTTTAAGGGAGCTAAGTACGTCCTCAGAGGTAACAATGCATCTGTAGACTTGTTTAAAGTTGGTTACAGGTAAGTGGGCTTTAATAGCCACTTATCATCAGGTGGACTCTAAGTTCTTACAGTTTTATAAAAGAAACGTACCACGGCTAATGTATTAAAACGTGTGGCGGGTGAAAGGAAAAGGGGAGATCTCCCGCCGGACAAGGTGTTGTGCCCGGGGAGCGGCCAACGCTCCGATTGGTAGTTCGGAGCTATTCTATATATGGTGCTTTAACTTCGGAACTTTGTTAGCGCGATTTAGGCTTCGATATGTTTCGCTTGTGGCGCGACGACAGCGCCGCCACAAACGTTATGCAATGTCCGGTCTATTCTCCGTAAACAATGTAATGTTTCTGTTGATGATTATGATGATTGTGACGTATGTTGTAATGTTGTCGACTATTTCATGATTTAGGCATTTACTATTTATGTCTAGTTCTTTAACACCTGTAAGAGGGAATGTGACACGCCCACAGAGGTGAATTTATTGATTCTTAAACTGTGCAGATGGGGTGGTGCTCATCGACCCTGAGTACGTGAAGGACCGGAAGGTGTTCGGGCACGTGCTGGCGGCTTTCCGCTACGGGCGCGAGGACCTCGATGTGCTTGGTCTCACCTTCCGCAAGGACCTCTACCTCGCCGCGGAACAAGTAAGGTTTTTACCGTTCTGGTGTTTTAAATAACTTATAAACGCCACTAATCATAACTATAAGCATTATGATATTATGATAGATTCGTTTTAACTACTCTTTTTAAGGATTACCCTTTCTTTGAATGGACGTTCTACTCTTAAACCATAATAACAGTATATCACTTATTTTTTAATAATTGAATAAAAAATATCGTAATTTTTTTATAGAATAAGGGAGACAAACGAGCAACAAATGGATGCTGTTGTCTGCAAAGAATCAAAATGCTGATACTTTGTTAGCCCTGAGGACTAAGATGGAATGCCTCGTTTCCAGTGAAAAGGGTCTCTGGTTCTTTACACTCATACGAAACACGGCAGCATTAAGAGCGTAGACGGGCTGCATTTTTTCCATACAAATGTATTCCTCTATTCTCTTCCTAGATAATGCCTCTAGAGTTTTTTTTTTTTTTTTTTTTTTATAGGAGAGGGGGCAAACGAGCATGCGGCTCACCTGATGGTAAGTGACTACCGCCGCCCATGAACAACCGCAACACCAGGGGAATTGCAGATGCGTTGCCGGCCTTTTAAAAAGGAGTAGGCTCTTTTCTTGAAGGTCCCTAAGTCGTATCGGTCCGGAAAAATCCCTGGTGGTAAACTATTCCACAAGGAAGTTGTGCGAGGAAGAAAACATCTTCTAAATCGCACAGTGGTGGACCGCCAATCATCCAGATGGTGTGGATGGTATCGGGAGTTCTGCCGCGATGTGCGTTCGTGAAATTTGGCGGCTGGGATTAATCCGAACAATTCCTCAGAGCACTCCCCATGGTAGATGCGAAAGAAAATGCAAAGAGATGCAACATCTCTTCGCAGTGCCAATGAATCGAGCCGATCGGAAAGGGCTCGGTCGTCGACGATTCGAGCCGCTCTGCGCTGGATGCGGTCAAGTGGAAGGAGCTGGCACTGGGGAGCCCCTGCCCAGAGATGGGAACAGTATTCCATGTGAGGCCGAACCTGCGCCTTGTAAAGTTGCAGGCGGTGTGCCGGCATGAAATACTGTCCCGCTCTGCTGAGCACGCCAAGCTTTTTGGAGGCCAATTTGGCCTTCTCTTCCAAGTGACCACGAAACTGCACGTCACTCGATATGTCGACTCCGAGGATACCGATACTGGCTGAGGCAAGAAGGGGAGTGCCTTGAAACTGAGGAGATACGACAAAGGGGTTCTTTTTAGCGGTAAACGCGCAAACTTGTGTCTTCTGAGGATTAAACTGGACTAGATTTAGTCGCCCCCAATCCGAGACTTTGTCCAGCAAAGACTCGACTTCAGACACAAGTTTGTTCCGGTACTCGGCGACGTTTTCCCGAGAAATATTGGCCCGGCCGGTGTATAGAGCATCACCAGTGCTGTCATCCGCATAGCAATGAATCGAATAATCGGTTTTGTTTATAAAATCTAGGTCTATTGAAGGCATGCCCCTGTCATTTATTTTTTTTCCAAAAAATTATTGCAAAAATAAATATGACTTTCCAAAAACCTAAAAAAATGCCCCGTTTTTACTTCCGTAATCAGACGACTACCAAACAAATTTGAAAAGTTTTTAAGATAAAAACAAGTGATAGGAGCATAGATCTATTCTTCCTTTAAATTTTGATACCAAAAATAATTTAATCGGCTTAGTTTTCGAGGAGAAAACAGGGGAATACGAAATGTCGATCGGTCATGGTTTTTGTAGGTAAAATCGTTTTGAGCTGCAGTTGTCCCTATCGCACTCTACGCGGGAAGACCAGAGGTGAGGGATGGTTAGACTAATAAATATTAGTCTAAATAATTAGGAAAGTGACAACTGTCGAAGATTTTATCGATATCATAGTGATGTCAGTCGATATCGACGTTTACCTACTGATTTACAGGCGACACAGATTAGTGAAATTAATAAGACAACGATGTAACAATTCAGTGAGTTTACATTTAGTTTTTTTTTGTAATAAACTTTAGCGAACTTTAGTGGAATAATACGTAACTAATGTTCGCATTCTACTGCTTGGTGAATAATTCTGTTCAGATCCTGACATGATGACCATGGGAACACATGAGAAGTATGTTGTTTTAAACAATGCCTATAAAATTTGTGAATTGCCCTTAAATTTCTTAGGATCCCATCATCAGATCCTAACTTATACCTTCCATTATCATCTCAGCAACATGAGGTGATGATTACTAGGCACAAATAGATGCGTTAGAAAGTACATGAAAAACATTATATGTGCCTATAAAATTTGAAATCGAGGGTAACCCACCCTCGATTTCCCTGGAACCCCTTCATCAGATTCTGACTTGGTGACAATGGGACCACCTTAAGAGTGTAAGTTTTCGAATAAAAAAAGAGTTTTGAAAATCGGTTCACAATTGACGGAGAAATCGGTGAACATACTTACATAAAAAACGCATACAGTCGAACATAATATAACCCTCTCCTTTTTTGGAAGTCGGTTAAAAATTATAAAACAAGTAAAAGCTCTATCACCGATGTCAACCCCAGTCGGAAGGTGAATTTCAATTATACATTTTATAATATTTGATTGCCATACAGATAGGCAATATATACCTACCTAAATGTATATTGTAATTTGACATGAATGCATATTACGAGCGTCCGCAGCAGGTGGTAATTTATCCGCTGTGATGGGATAAATATGGGATAAACCACGTGCGAAACAAAGATACTAAGCATTGTTATTGCTGCTTTAATATTGTAATCGCCTTATGACAAGGGCCATCTTGAGTAGAATCCAGCCATGCTATTCAAAATTGACCACCTCACGCTCCTTTGACCATAATAGATATGAAATTTTAACTTTACTTTTACTTGGATGGTACCGCACACGGTGTAAAATGAATCTTCCGTTTTATATAGGTATTCAAATCCAATCCACAAGCCGAGTCAAAACAGTGAAGCAAAGAATCAAGTCCGTAAACATGGTGCGCGCGGAAGATGCGTGGTACTGAGCTACGCACACAAATACAGATTATTCACTCACATATTGATACCTCGGTTGCTCGGGCGCAGTGCGACAGCAATAGTTTCTTCAAATACCTATTTCCCAATTCCCGCGCAGACCGACTACGCTCTTAAGCTACTATTTTACTCTGGTATTTGTGTGAGGACGTGTTCTTTCCCCGGTAGAACCGATCCATTCGTGCTACAAACATAACATTTCCGCAGCGTGGCTCTGCCACGTATGAAATTGACGTTACAATTTTAATAGTCAAATTATCATTACAATAATATAATTTTAAATACGAACAAACTAATTTACATCGACCAACTTTTTAGCCACCGCGAGAAGTAGCAATTTCAAAGTATATCATGTAGTTATTTAACTAGGGTGTCAACTACACAATTATAGTGTTCATTTATGTATAAAATTTTATCACACGTTACACCAACAGCCTTAGTAAATCCAATGGACACCTTAGGCCTTTTTTAGAATGCACAGCTGTCAAACATTACTTGCAAAGCAGGGGAACCTTTCTCACGAATCACAACCTCACGTTGCTACGCTGCATCTTTCAACTCTGAACCTATATATCACTGTGATGATAAGGAGCATTTCCAATATGAGAATGTTGGCTCTGCACTCACCAACTCAAATTATAAACATTAAACTTTTCTATGGATGTATAGTGACGCCGTAAGAAAATCCATCATCCCATTTCCTTCCGTGAAGTCCGACCTCTTAGGTAATTATGGGGAATGCCATTAAAACTTTATAGCTTTCGCTAGATGGCGATGTAGCCATTTCGTTTACGTTTACGTCAGGCGTAAAATACCGCAATCAGCGACAGGTAGCAGCGTCAAGTGGAGCAAACGTGTAAAACTTTCAGTATAAATTTTATGAACTATATAGAACTACGACCGTCAATTCGCCTGCCAAGCATGACGTTTAAGGCAAATCCTCTGTACAATTAAAGAGGCCAACGGCCAGCAGTGGACGAAATAGTGGATTAAGAAGAAAAGTAATGTTCTATGATGGCTGCATAGTTAAACGCTCAGAATATCAGTTGTAGATTATATAATACAAATAAAATGTTTACATTGGTTTAGATTCAATTACACCATTTTTGATTGTCGATTACCATAAATCTAAATAACGCTGCATATTAATAGATCTAACCTATCCAGGCCAAGCCGGGGCGAGTTGCTAATTATTAATATTATTTGATTAGTGCTAGATAAAATTGTAGTATTAAAGATAATAAAATATTTTAAATAGTATAATTACTATAGTACAATACTTCCTCATATTATTGTCTCGTTGCCTCGATCTCTATATAAAGTAAAAGAGAAATAGAAGCTTACTTTTTAAAAGCGTTAACGTGTTTTCACGCAAAATGTCAGTCCAAATTAAAGTGTGAAATTCGACCTGTCGTCTAACCGAGGACATGTTTGTTACCTTTCTACGTTCACGCCCATTAGAGATGAATTAACATAACTTTTCGCACGTCACATTTGCATATTTGATCTTTTACATGTTGATCAATGAGAAGTTAAGAGACTGTTTACTATAATTTTGACTTTTTGACTGGAAAAGAAGTATTCCATCATAGTCCTTAGCTGTGACAACGCATCAGTATTTTTATTCTTAATCGAGGATAGATATAGATGTCTTTTGTTAAAATATTCAAACGCTATTCAATTTTACGATGTCGTTAAGTGTCGTGATGTCGCAGTCACTTTGACTTAAAGTGATAGAGACAACACGAGACATAACCGCATTTGAGTATTTGCACGTTAGGAGCACAGCATCCATTTACTATCAGATGGACTATGTGTTCGTTTGTCACACAAATGTATAAAACAAAAGACTCACGCAGATTTACCCGGCGACGTCGACCGCGAAACGGCCGCTAACCCGGCTGCAGGAGCGACTGGTGCGCAAGCTGGGCCCGGCGGCGCACCCGTTCTACTTCGAGCTGCCGCCGCACTGCCCCGCCTCCGTCACGCTGCAGCCGGCGCCTGGCGATACCGGCAAGCCGTGCGGCGTCGACTACGAGCTCAAGGCGTTCGTTGCGGACTCGCAGGACGACAAGCCGCATAAGAGGTAAGCCGCGCCCTTTACTCACCCAAACTCTAATAATATACCGCTCACCACACACTATATGTGACAAGTTGCGCTATAAATAAAAAAATCGGTTTCTTATGTTATAACCTATAAACACAAAACAATGTCGCAGTGGTTGCTTTTTAATTTATTGCACATTTTTACTTTTTATTTTTAATTATTTTACTTTTAAAAATATCCATAGTTTGGTTTATTAATTTTAATCGAATTAATATAAAATGTAACTAATATTTCATAAAGAAACATTAAACTTTATAATTTAACTTTCCTGCTATGAAATTGTCAAAGATTTCACCTCATTCCGAAGTGGCGGCGCCCTGGTGGCGGAAAATTTTTGTGGATGCTCTCATTCATCTAATAATGTCCTCCAGACCGAATTTCGTTCACAGCAGTCAGTGTCAACGGATACTAGCCATCTGCGTAAGACAGGATTATAGTGCCCGAAAGCACTCTCTATTCCTCCGTGCTCTATTTTCCCTCTCTCTCATAGTCCGATACGACCGGAGAGAGATCGGATGGCTTTACGTGGTTTCCGGACGCGGGGGTAAAAAACCGTGTACTTCCTGACTCTGGCTTGCTACTGAGAATTTCTTGTCAGAGAAACCCAATAATCGATTTTGATCCAAACCCTGATTCGAACCCGAGACCTCAGAATCATCATGCACTCTACGACCACTAGACCAAAGAGACATTCAATATATCATAATTAATAATTCTTCTACTTGTTCATCAGCTCGTAAAAGTACTGCTGGATATGGGGCTCACCCGTTGTAGGGATGATTTTCCTAAGGCTGGATTTAGTGCTCGACCGACGGTCAGCACAGAGTCGAGCACTAAATCCAGCTTAAGTCGTCACTCTTGAGACTGATATATTTTGTTTGACGTTTCCAGCGTTTGTTTCATCAAACCCCAAAAGTAAATAGGAAAACAAAACAAAAGTAAACAACCATAATCTGTTACACGTTTCACGGCTGGGCACAGGCCTCCACATTTTCTGAGAGAAATTAATCCGCCGCATTATGTAAATAAGTTTCGGCGGACATTACATATTTTCGATATGTGTTATTGCTCATAAATGCAGGTTTCCTCAAGATATTTTCCTTCACTACTGAGTACGTAGTAAATGAACAATTAAAATTTTTATTGGTGTCGACGGAGATCTAATCCAGGTCGATCGCGTACCTCTTCTTAGAAAAAGAATACAAACAAGGAAGTTTTTCGCGAGGCATTACTTGTTCATTGAAATGTTATTCAGTGAGAATCCGCTCAGCTAATTACAGTGAGATCCGTAGTGTACGCATACAATGAATCAGTATTCAGTTTCCGATGTGCTAGTCGCAGCGTTCCGCTCGACGAGATTGATTTACCTTACAATTTATTCCATTGCGAATCGCCTTTATCTTGCCTCTAATGTACAAATGATTGTTATTACTAACTTCAGTAAAGTATCAGAATTATATGCACGTGTGTGTGTGTGTGTAAGGAATGCTCGTGTTTATTTTGCACGCTTTTGCCATTGCATGTATAAGAACTAGAAGCATTTTTTTATATTATAACATTAGAGATTACTATTACTCGTAGCAATGTTAATATTGTTATTATTATTTAAAATTATCTCCATCCATCCATTGGAGTCCATCAAACGGCCACTGCAGAACAGCCTCTCCATGGATTGCCTCATAGAGGGAATATTTGCCATAGCGTCACGCTTTCCGAGCGGCTTGGCACCGCAGTTTTTTATATTTTTGTGCTGTTATCGGGAAGATGCTGCTGCCCATACCCTGCTTCGTATCTCTCTGTCGCGTCTTACGACACCCACGGGATAATATGGGGTATTTTCTTACGTCGCTAAGTACACGCCGTCAATTACATACACTTTTTATTGCATGTTCTGCTACTGCAGCTATTTTTATTTATTTATTGTTTTTAAATAATTTTTTACATTTGAATGTGGATGACTTTTTATATTATTTTAAATAAGAATAAATTGCTGTCCGTTAGTCTCGCTAAAACTCTAAACTGGCTCGACTGATTTTGATGAAATTTTTTGTGTGTGTTTGATTTGGTCCCAGGATGATTTACATTCACAATTGGACCCGGTAGGTGGCGCTGTTGTCGTGATCCAGAAATCACCCGTGCGAAGCAGAGGCGGAACGCTAGTCTAGGATAATAAAAGGATCTTATAATAGATCGAATAGATATATAAGAGAATATAAGAGATAGAAGAAGTAATTTCGATATTTATTTAATCTTTATTACCTTAATAAAAGGGTAACAAAGGGTGGACTATCAAGTCCGCCCTTTGTTACCAGTTGTTGTTGGTGTTGTTGTTTGGCAGAGAATGCCGATAGGCGCCCCGTGGAGTGATGAGATTTTGTGGCAGGTGCAATTATATATATACATACATACATACATATCTACGTACTATAATGTACATATGATATACGAAATCTTTACATATTATAGTGTATGTAAATATATAACCAAAACATGTATGATACGTAGAATATAATATATGCGTTACATATGATAATAAAATACATATGTAGGAAGTATAATGGGTATAGTACAGAGACTGATTTTGTAGTTAGGAATAATAATTAATTTGTTTACACGAATTCATTATCCAACGAGTCGAGGATAAACTAGTAACGGAATACGACAAGCGCACCGTTCCATGTCAGAGCCAAGACTCCCTTAACGGTGGCCGCTCCGTCCGTTTTATACAAGCAGGACGGGCGGCAACGCAGGTGCAATACCGCAGGTGTGCGGAACACGTGTCGTTTACAAGAATTCTGTTTAGCTAGACCGACGCCACCGCACCTACAACGGTGCAGGTGCCGTCACGGCCATACTGACATGCGTGCGTCCTCGCACGCGCTCCATCACAATTTTAGTTACCTGTAGACAAAAAAAACATCGTTCGACTATCCTGACATAACAGCGTCTGGTCCGGTCTATATTGACTCTTCAGACTTGGGTGACAGTCAGTTTTGTTCCGGCAGTAAGCCCTACAAAACTTTAATCATCTTTATGCTATATCGGAATGATTAGTCTGTAGCTTTTTCTATTTTCTCTTCTTTTTTTTTCAAGTACTGTTTTCGCTAGTCCGGAATCACTATTCCCTATAGCTATATCCCTGGACCGGCACAAAGCCCTGCAATGATAGTAAGAACTATTCTTTTTTCTTAATCTCTCTTTTTTTTCAGTACTATTTATGCTAGTCCGGAATCACTATTCCCTGTAGCTATATCATTAGACCGGCAAACGCCCTGCAATGATAGTAAGAACCACATTTTTTTTCTTACTCTCTTTTTTTTCAATTCAGTATAGAACAGTTACAGACCAACCATACCGCAAACATGTCCCCGTTACAATCACACAAAAGTGTATCGTGAGGGACGTAGTGACACGATAATACCTAAGTATGTAAACCAACAGCAACACGACACATATCCCAGTGCAGCACAGACCAGCCTCCCTGCAACTTGCATGATCCTTTCCTGCACTAGAATAATTACTTCGATAGAGTGTTGCAACGTCTCTAGTATTTTCTAGATGCACAGACACGTCTACCTCTGACTGTCGCACGTCCTCGTGAGGTTGACAGTGAACAGCATACGGTCTATCAGTTATCACCACCTGCTAACAGATATTAACTCTTGTTAAATATTACAACGGTCGACCATCCCAGACTTCATTTAAGTCTGGAACGCGCCGATATGGCTACCTCCAGGCAAACGCACTACAGCTTTTCGTTCTGCTGCGTTCGTACCACATTCGCGCCAGCGAGCCGTCGCGCCGTACTAGCGCTAGCAAATTGTCGTACTGCTTTGCAAAATTAAAAGAAATCGAGATAAATGTATTGCAAACCATGGAATTCCGAGCTTCCAAAATTCATCACATATTCTCTTAAGAAACGGCAACTGTATGACATTTGAAAACATTGCAAAAAACGGTAACTATGTGTAGAGACGGATACCATCATATATTTCAAAGGGAAGGAGGCAACTGCGCAAAATCTACGAAAGCCGACCAAGCCTCAGACGTTCATTTACAGCACCAAAGGATCATGTGTTCGGCCGCCGCTTGAATTGCCTTGCCGTAAGATCTGCCGATAAGTTACAGACTGTAGCGGTGTAGGCTCAATCTTACTAGCGCTCGGCCGTACCTGACCATGTTCGATTAGCCGTCACAACATCTTCCTCATTGATCATATTTGTAGAGACTTCTACGAATCTCTTGACATCAAACCCCAATCTTGTCACCACACAGTATTCGGAGCAAACTGCAACACTGATCAACACATTAGAACACAAAAATGTCACTTATTATTTTCAATTCCTAGTATGTTAAAGTTAATCCTTTGTTTTAGTACATCGCTTAAACGTTTTGGATTTCAAAATATAACAGATGATAATCATGTTTCGCATGAACTATCAAATTACAACAAAACTTGAACAAATTAATTTTTCATTCAATGCAAACGATGACTCGTCTAGAAAGCCTCCGACATTTCTTCCATTTGTTAATATATTTAGGTACGTCAGAAATAATGAAAATACTTGAGGGTACTTTTAATACAAATCGAACAAAAGGATTTATCTTTTGGCTTAAATAATTTCACTTTATCTTTTCTCTACACTTTAATGATACGACAATATTGTAAGTAGAACAGCAAATTTCATTACGGTATTTAACATAAAAAGAGATCCATCAATGCGAAATGCATTATAGCCTTTACAAATGTAATAATTCTCATACTATTCGAAGATTATAATATGTGGGCAAAAAGGGGGACTTTATCCCACTTCTGATGTAGGAAGTATAATGGGTATAGTACAGAGACTGATTTTGTAGTTAGGAATAATAATTAATTTGTTTACACGAATTCATTATCCAACGAGTCGAGGATAAACTAGTAACGGAATACGACAAGCGCACCGTTCCATGTCAGAGCCAAGACTCCCTTAACGGTGGCCGCTCCGTCCGTTTTATACAAGCAGGACGGGCGGCAACGCAGGTGCAATACCGCAGGTGTGCGGAACACGTGTCGTTTACAAGAATTCTGTTTAGCTAGACCGACGCCACCGCACCTACAACGGTGCAGGTGCCGTCACATACATTAAAATTGCAAATAATAAAACATCTAAATATGTAATATCAAAATACATCTTCATCCTGTCTTCATCATTCTTAACGTCCAACATCGCTTCATTTCAAAAAGTGACTTTTTTAACCAACCAACTCTTTAAAACAGTCATCACTTCGTGCGCTTTTCTTACGTTTTCGGGTAAGGAGTTTCAGAGTAGTGTTGTCTGAATAGTAAAGAAATTGTTGGTGAACCCTGTGAAATGAGATCGACTACTAATCTTGTGATTAGATGAACAGCGAAGAACCTTATCATGAGTTGAAAAGAGATACTGGAATTTGTCCTTGAGATATGTTGGAGAAGTTGGATTATTCAAACTTGAGAAAAGAACCAGAACAATTCTAGAGTTTCGTCTTTGTCGGACAGTGCGCCGTTTCAGGCGTTCACAATAATGAGAGATGTGGTCATATTTACGGAGACCAAATATATCTTTATACATAATATATAATTTTTTTATAAATTTTTTAATATATAAAAATTACGTGTCACATTTTTTGTCCGCGATGAACTCCTAAACTACTGAACTGATTTCAATGAAGTTTTGTACACTGTGTGCAGTTTGGTCCAACTTGAGAGATAGGATAGTTTTATCCTGATAAGTGACACTCAATATTTTTTTATTACGAATTTAAGGATTTTTTATATGAAAGGTCGTCGAAAAGAGCAGAACAACGTCTGCCTGGCCAGCTAGTATTATATATATATAATACAGTTATTGAGAAGACGATCTAGTTTATTACGAAGATTTTGGTTCAAATCTGGGTGGCACACATTTGCATAATCAATAAACCTAGCAAGCTAACAGCATAGCAAAGTGGCGAAGCAATCAGCTTTGTAGCGGTTTCTAATGGTTGCCGTTGAGCAATCAGTTTCAAAATAGGAGGTTCAGATGCCTGGGTGATCAGTAATCGATTGCTGAAAACAGAATTTGAAAATTCGAAACCGTTCTCGAGATAATCGTGGGACAGACGGACAGACGGACAGACATCGTGAAATCAATAAGTGACTTCGCAAGCTTCGCCACTTAATAATGGGCATTATAAATGTTGGCTTGGTCTTGATAGGAAGGAAGTTCTTCAGACGATAGAGGAGAGATCGTAAGGTGGCAAAGACTGCGGCTAATTTCGGTGACATGCGTTCATTGTTTTGTCCACATACAGGCCAAGATTTTTTTACAGAGAAAGAGAACGGTGTCAGAATATCTATCAATTTAGGACATCATTCTCGAACTACCTACGAGTATAGCTTTTCGTTGGATTAACTGATATACCAAAAAGCCTAGAGCCTAGAGCCTAGACCATTCTTTTACGACTTCTAAGTCTAAATTTAACATTCTGATATCGTCATAAAGCTCTTCAATAGATGATTGCTAGTAAATATTATAAAATATAGATAACGGTATTATATCCAGCAATAAAAATCCACTCTATGTACATAAATTATAAAGCAATAATGATCACTACAGGGAACGATGATGTCATCATCATAAAATTGTTAAGAGGTGTCTAAATATGAATACGAAAAGTTATAAAAATAATAAAACCAAAAGTTACAAAAGCAGCCTATAAACATACAGGCTCTGTATAATGTATGGCTTTACCACTCATTTTTGATAGTGTCCGCATTGCTATTTTATAGTTTACTAATGCATTTTTCATGTTTGTTACGTTATAAAAAGTAAATGTGAATTTTATGAGGCAGTAGTATGCCTGGCCTGGATTGTTGTGTAGTTTATTACATTACTTTACGCCAGTTTTATGATGTTTAAATAAAAACTTATCAAAGTAAAATAGTGTAGTATTGTAACAAAAAATAATGTCATGACGTATGCAACTTGCTATCTATGCGAGAGCATGAGTTGATAAAAGTAGGAATGGCACTCTAAAATATTGAAAATGTCAAGCTTTATCTTATATTGAACGCTCTTAAGGCAATCATTACAATTAGTGACACATCTGTCTGATGACTGCATTTATTCTGTAACAAATGTAGGTGAATGTGTGACTTATACGGGCACTATTCGTGCGTAATAAACATACGTCACGACCAACCCACTGTGGCGACCAATTACAGTTAAGTAAGGCATACTAACCGCAATGTTTTACATAGAACTGACATAGAAAATTATTTAATTGAAATTGGTCGTAAATCTATCGGTTAATAGGAGGACTTTATTATGTAAACAACAAGATTTAATGAGATGCAAAACTTTTGCTTGTCAAAGGCTACCAGTTATTTTGAAAAGAAATAATTAAACTTTAACCGAAATGCATTGAATTTTCTTGTGTTTAGACAAAAACTAAAGTCTTATCCTCTATTTATATTTCTCAGACAGAAGAAAATCTCAGATATTTTTATAGAATAACGGTGACAACCGAGCACACAACTCCACCTGATGGTAAGTGGATACTGAGGTCCATAGACATCTACATTAATACTCAATTAAGAATCAAAATGCCGATGCATTGTCATTCCTGAGGACTAACAAGATGGAATGCCTCGTTTCCAGTAAAAAGGGTCTCCAGTTCTCCATACTCACCATACGAAATACATCAGCATTAAGCTGCTATTTTTCGTTGGTATTCTGTGAGAGCGTGGTCCAACACCGGTCGAGCCGTCTCATACGACCGGGGAGCTACGACTATAACATGGCTGGAGCGTAGCTCTACTACGTAAAGCCAGCTTTCTCACGGTGTTTTCCTTCTCCGCTTAGCATATAGTAAATCAGGACTTCATATTGCAATTAACAGTTTCCGTGTTGCCGGTGTAATGGTTTATTTTAAAGCCAACTCTTCGTTCAGTTTTGAAGCTCATAACTTATTAAATATTATGTTGAGTACTTTTATGTTTCATTAGAATGAAGAACTTTAAATGAGAAGTTTCAAGACAAAATTACTTAAATAGAATCAACTTCATTAAACTTTCGCAACTTTATCTATCAACTTTACCTTCGAATTTCAAAGTACTTGTGTTTCAAGAAGTTTCATTTCTCTTTTGAATTTTAATCTACAATATTAAAATAATTATTTAATTTTCAGGAATTCAGTTCGGTTAGCGATCAGGAAGATAATGTATGCGCCGAGTAAGCAGGGCGAGCAGCCGTCTGTCGAGGTGTCCAAAGAATTTATGATGAGCCCCAACAAATTGTACCTGGAGGCATCGCTGGATAAGGTAAGCGGGTGCACTTGTCTAAACCATAATAGCTCAGCCTAGGTTCGATCCCCGTCGGCACCAACGATGTTTTTAATTACAATTTTTAGTGCTGATTTTACCACACGTAGATGAAGAAAACATCTTAAGAATTATATGCTAGCTTATATTTGCTGCTTATGGTAGAAAAATAAAAACATAAATTATAAATTGTTTTATTTAAATTAACTTAAATAAACCTATTAAATTAACCGGTTAAAGTACAATTCATCTTTTTAACAATAAAAACTCACGTTGCATTTTAGGTGTAATTTTTGCTTTTTTTTTTTTATAGGATAAGGGTGACAAACGAGCACACAGTCCACCTGATGGTAAGTGGTTGCTGTGGCCCATAGACATCTACATCTATTCTCTATTACAAATCAATATGTAGATGCGTTGTCACCCGTGAGGACTAAGATGGAATGCCTCATTTCCAGTAAAGGGGGCCTCCGGCCACCTGCAACTCACCAAGCGAAACGCAGAGGTAAACCTCTACTTCACGCTTGTTTTCTGTGAGGTCGTGGTACTACCCCGGTTCGAGCCGGCCCATCCGTGCGACAGCAAAAGCTGCCGAGTGGCTCTACCACTGTTATACTTATACATTAAGGTCTAACTCATTATCTTGTTGTATATTGTTTTTGGAAAGGTTATATTATGGTAAACGCCACAGATAATGCTAATTTGCGAGAACCAGCGAGCAGTAATTACTAATTACTCAACTATCTAGCACTAGCATAGAGCAACCCAGGCCACCGGGGGCGGACCAGAGGGGACTTACCATAGCGTTTTTTTTTTTCGATACAAAACTCACACACTACGAAACTCACACATAACAATTAAACCAATATACTAACAATTTGACACACACATAGATACGTTACAACACTCGCTCAGTAACAGCAATAACTCGGATCAGTCGCTCGACCGATCCGCATATTTTATGAGGGCGGGCAGCCTGTGTCGGTAAACAAATCCGAAACAACACGACCGTTATTGTTGTAATGTTTAAGTTTAAAAAGAAGTAAATAGCAATAATGTGATTAAAAATTACTTCTAAATGAGAGGTAACGCCATTTTTTTTTAGTAAATTTGACGTGATAGATGTATTTTTGCAGTAAAGAAACTGAATAATTGGGCATTTTTTGTGTCACGTCCATTCAGCTAGATTTAGTCTAGGAGCAGTGCGGCTTCAACTAGTTTTATTGTACGCACAGGCCTCCGTGGACTTATAGTTTGACAGAAGGAACGCCTACGTATAGCTACTCCGCTGCGGTCCACTGGTGGCCGTGTTGCTCTTATGATCTATGGTGTTGCTGAAGTGAGAATTTTACAGGAGCTGTACCACCACGGCGAGAACATCGCGGTGAACGTGCACATAGCGAACAACTCTAATCGATCTGTGAAGCGCATCAAGGTGTCAGTGCGTCAGTTCGCCGATATCTGCCTCTTCTCCACCGCGCAGTACAAGTGCACCGTTGCCGAGGCCGAGTCAGAGTCAGTACTCCACAATATTAGCATTACTATACTTTTTAATTGTTTATTTTAATTTTGTTGACTATCCTTACAGCCCTCATTTTACACCGTATGTTTTTTTAAATAATAAATAAAATCAATGAGAAACCGATTTCTCTTTTGAGGGTAGATGCAAGCGAACTTATGTTGCGACTCTAGAAAATTGGTTGTTTATAGACTTGAGTGTTTAAAAAGGATTTATTAATAAATGCTAAGTCGTAAAAACATTTTTTTTTAATTTTCTCATCAAAAAATTTATGAATGTTACCATAGTGTATTTTTTAATTTAGATATTTTAAATGCAATAAAAACGTCATTCCGATATCAATTGCGTGTTTCTTACACAGGAAGGTACTTACGAAGACATGGAATTTATATAGTCTACCTCTCTTTGGGATGTTCGCTAAGAGATTGAAACTTACAACTCTGTAAGTAGATGGTGTGAACGCATGTGGTGCACCTGCGAAACTTTATCTCGAAGCGTTATCCCAAAATTAATTCACAATGGCGTTTCTAATTTTAACAATTTACAACATATTTATGAATTTGAATTACATACTTTACCTAACAAAAAAATTTACTGCCTGCACGATTTACCTTTTTCAAAACCCCTCATCCAACTCCTCATCAGCTTGTAATTATCCACTGCTGGATATGAGCCTCCTCGTCACTGATCTTTTATTTGATATTTTACATCTAACATCAAAACATGGATTATAATGCCATCTATCGGTGGCCATGAGATCTATCTGGCATCTGTTGTCGAGTCTTACGATATACACGGATCGAGGTGGGGTGATGGTTTATCTTGTGCCTCTTCTACACTACTCGCGAAGTAACTTCGACGAAGTGCTCGTCGAAGTCGATCCCAGTCCGAAGAACGTGACAACACACTCGTGCTACTTCGCGAAGAGCTCAGTCATCTTGAGTCTCCCGCACCCTTAACATGAATAACGTTCAATAGGCAGCTGCTATAGGTACCTAATTGTGTGAACAGTACGACGTCAATGCGTTAACTAAATAAATAATTATGTAGAAAGCTACATGTTTAGTATTTATATATAAAAAAAAAATCATAACTGGCGTACGCCGAGTAGTGTAGTGAGATACTTCGTGTAACTTCGGGGTACTTCGCGAAGTCCTTTGACTCTGGCGCAAAAAACCGATAGCGATCGAAAGCTCCCCGAGGCGAAGCGAGGTTGCGCAAAGCGAATCGAAGTACCTCTCTACACTATCCGCCTCGTCCAACTTCGATCTACTTCGCGAGTAGTGTAGAAGAGGCATTATGCCGCCATAACACAGCAAAACATTATTCGTACAAATAAAATTACCGCCTTTATCTGCCTTCCATTCCTAGTTGTTTTTATAATTTTATCTACTGTAGAAACGATAAAAATTCTGGAATTAAATCTTACGTTCCTAATTATGCAGTCAAATGGTAAATAAAATTACCATTTATTTACTATACGAACGTATTATAGTAACCTAAGAGACGAGAACTGGAGACCCTTTTTTCCCTGCGAAGAAGCATGCCATCTTAGTTCTCAGGTATGACTATGGATCACAGCATCATGACTGTGTGCATGCTAGTGTGTTGTTGGCCCTTACTCGTGTAAAATTACGGAGATATCGGTTCTACGCGCACCAAGACCACCGTCATAAGTGTACAAAAAATATTCAAGAAATACATTATTTGATGTATTATTAGAAAAAAACTTTATAGACTGAGTAAGAAGAATAATCCGCTAAAGATCAAAGTCGGCACCCAAAACACTTGACAGCTAATTGACAGCTGCATATTGCGGTATCAGAATCTATACAATAGGAAAACGCTTAATATCTTTGTGCAATGGATAACCAGGCTTTATTACTGTGACCGACGACAATTGCAGGGAGGGGTGTCCCGTGGGACCGGGCTTCACGCTGAGCAAGGTGTTCACGCTGACGCCGCTGCTGGCCAACAACAAGGACAAGTGGGGGCTCGCGCTTGACGGCCAGCTCAAGCACGAGGACACAAACCTCGCATCTAGCACTCTGTGAGTTATTCAATTTTTTTTGTATTTTCAGGGCACTGTGGTTCGGTTCCATTGTTAAAAGAGCCTGTTTAATAATTACTGGCTGAGAAATTTTAGTCTTAATTTGACTTGGGTTGTAATTGCCACAAAGGAGAAGGCTTTACCATGTTCTGTTTCTACAATCATTAACTCCAATAGAAAACTATAGTAATTAATCAAGTCAACGATAAATCACGTGTTTTAACGTTGTAATGTGTCAGACTCATTCTTTTTTATAGTTTGCTATTAGCATCGTAGAAAGTCAACTTGGCTAAGATCACAGATAGACTATTAGCTTGTTTGCCAATCTAATATTTTAAAATAAAACTAAAACTGTCCAGTTTTGAATTCCGTGTTCGCAGTTTGGTGGTTACGCAAGAGATTATCTATTAACCGTCTATTATTCGTTCGTTACATAAGACTCGACATTTTTTTTATTAAAGTAACGGTGTATTTGATACAGTCCTTCTGATGGTAAGTGGATGCTGTGGCCCGTAGACGCCTACTTCCTCCAATAAATAGACAAAATGTTGACAAATGCGTTACTACCCCTGAGAAGACTTATGTGAATAGCCAAATATCTTAAGCCCCTACCATATTATATTGTATCTTCATACTCCATCAGCAAAATAAGAACGTAAATAATGGGTCTCCCTCCAATAGGGATGATCTCGTTTAGTATGCTTGATGTAAAATATCCAGATCGACTAGCCTAAAAGGCGCGAAACGTCTGGTACTGCGATTACCGTTCCGGCCACCACCGCTCACCACAATAGGCTGTGTCTATATCCACTAGTCGATTGTTTTTGAACAGTTGAAAAAAAAATTCGTTTTGCGTTATAACTGATATTTTAACAGATAGTTGACTTTAAAATCCTATAAGGTGTGTATAATGAAGGTTAGATAAATAAATAAATATTTTATATAACAAATCTGTGTTCCTTTCTAGAATTGCGGATCCATCGCAACGGGAGAACCTAGGTATCATAGTACAATACAAAGTGAAAGTCAAATTGTGCCTCGGCCCACTTGGCGGGTGAGTTATCCTGTTTTGTACTTCTTTCAGTCTTTTCAGGTCATATCACCGTCTATTTTTTATTTATTGATTTTAACTGTGGCGCTTTTAGATTGTACGTTACGGTATTGGGCACTTATGAAATTGTTATCATCGTCGTGAGGTAACCTATTTGTTCAAGGAATAAAATATTTCGAGGACTGAACAGACTTCCTCTTCCTCAAAATATAATTAAAACGTACTGGAGCAGCGCAACTAACTAATTCTTCCATAACCCTTGGAGAAATAAAAGTAGGCATGTGACCTATTTGTTATATATAGGGTTATTTTGTAATATACGCCCAAATTTGCAGAAAAGATTTAGAATGAGTAATATCTTATAATAAGAAAAAAATTTCAAACGTTCTGTCATTTTTATCTTTTAAATTTGGAATGCTTGGTAATGCATTATTTTAACTGATTGTCGTTTATAAATATCTAACGCCTACTATTTTACTACGCCCGCAAATATTCGTAGGGGTCAATGGGTCAGCAAAAACGTTGTGAATTGAATCGCACACATAGGACTGCGACTTAAATCACATTCAATTTGGTATAATTTTAAATAAATAAATGTAAAATAAATAAATGTTTGCTTTACACAAATTTTGCCACCAACTAGGTCACTCCTATGACTTGAGATTTAGGCGAGGCATAGTAATGTAAACAACTTTTAAATCTAAAGTACACATCTGTTTAGATCGTTAAATTTAAAACGTAACACTAAAGTAAGTTCAGTAAATGATGTTTTGTCACGCAGAGACTTAAGTGCAGAGCTGCCGTTCATCTTGATGCATCCGAAGCCGGAGGAGGAAACGGCGCGCGCCGCGCCCGAGCCCGCGCCGCACCACGACCACGACCTCATACAGCTGGACCCGCACCCGTGCGTACACACATCCTTAATGTTGTTCAACATCAAACATAAAAGTTAATAAGAGAAAACAGACATAAAGTTATCCTATCGCATGAGTAATGTGATGCTGAAAACTGACTTAATGTAATGCTATCGCAGGATTGTGTTACCGTTGGTTTTCAGCAATGTAACCATTACAGTTGGACTCGCTCGCGAGGATAGTGTAAAATTAATAAAATAAAATAATGGTAATGGCAAAAGGATTGGAACTTTAGTTTTGCTGTATATATAAGTGTACATATATAATAAATAATATAATGAGTATTTACAATAAAACAATAAAGATATTTATATTATGCTATGAATATATAATGCAACTATTTTATCCTCCCTAAAAGTTAAACCGACAAAAGTATTGTTTTAGTTGTTACCGTAAAAATGATGATGCTATTTAGTTGACATATAGGTGGGGGACAAGTTGTTCCAACGTTTAGTAATTGCATATCGGAAACTACTGTGTATTTTGGTAACGAAAGGACATTTGATTTTGTTCGAATGTCCTTAAAATTACTGTCCTTGCGCCATTTTAGTTTTTGTAACAGATATCCGGACTTTTTGTTTTGAAATACACTGAACATTAGTGTTGCCATGTGTAACGCTCTTAATTGGTATATTCTATGATAACTTTGGTTTGTTTAAATAGAGACTGAAGTGAGTTCCTGGGGAAATGTGGTGTATATATCTGGCTCATGCATATTGACTCGTCTAAATTATTCGGCCAGTTTTCGAAATTAGCCTTGGTCCATATACTGTATCGGTATAGTTTAGCCTAGAGAGTACAACGAAGTTGCAGAGCTTAACGCTCAGATCTTGACTCAAAAAGTCACGTATCGGTATAATACTTTTAATCACGTCATCCATCAGCAACCCTAGATTGTTGGCTTTAGTCACACGATTTTCCTTCTCCCCGAGGACAAATCAGGATTATTTGCAACTATTCGGCGATTTTTATTAATCTCTAATTAACTTATTAATTGCGCAGTTAGTTTGATTTGGAACAAAGCACATATACAGTTGTCCCAAAAGTTGACGTCAAGCCGGAATCGGGTGATAGGACAAATCATAATAGTAACCAGAAAAATATAAAAAAAATCTTAGTCATGTATTTTTTTAAATTACAGTAATTTTTTTTTTTGAAAAAGTACACACCTGTGATGGTTTTTTAGCTACAACTACAAATATTTATTTTTTTCGATTTTTTTTTAGAAAAATCTGTTTCACTCACACTTCATGGATTGATTCTTCCTCTTACTCAAACTAGAATCTTAGTTACTTTCATGGCAAGCTTTGGTAACACTAAAATCATTTTTAGTAGTTAAAAAGAATTTCATCAAAACTGGGATTCTTGAAGAAAAAATGTTTTTTTCCTGTAATCTAAGAAATAATGTAGCAAGTGCTATACCATTTTAGAATCCTTATTAAATGCGTCAACTTTTAAGGTTACTTGCTAAACTGGCGTAGTACATTGTTTTTCAGTACAGTCAGTTAAAGTTGGGCGAAGTATTAATTTTTCATTCTTGGTTCAGATAAATGTGACATTTTCTTCTAAGTTGGAGCAGTTAGCTAAGAATTAAAAACAACAGGTTACACAAGCACTACCTAAGATTACACAAAAAAAAAATACGTAAAAAAAGTAAAGATTTGTAGCTAAAAAACCACCACAGGTGTACATTTTCAAAGAAAAAAGAAATTACTGTAATTTAAAAATGCATGACTAAGATTTTTTTTATATTTTTCTGGTAACTATTATGATTTGTCCTATCACCCGATTCCGGCTTGACATCCACTTTTGGGACAACTTGTATACCTGTAAGTTGTCTGCATACATATATGATATTTAGAGTTCTGAATGGGAGAATAAATATCTGCTATATACCCAGTATAGATCCTTGGGGAACTCTTCTAGTTACAGTTTTGCCTTTTTTGCGTTTACGTTTACGTTTACGTTTAGTTTTACGTTTTTTTTTAACTAAATAAATTGTTATTAATTTTAGGTTAACCGCATTTTGTTGCATTTACTTTATGACAAAAATATTTACCAAACAAATAAAAATGGATACAATGTCATTAAAATTGACATTAAAAGAGCTGAGTTTTCAGTAAACGCAATCCTGGTCTCATTGCACAAAATTATTTAATAGTGGCAACAACTAAATTCTTCTTTTTATAACAAAAATTATGAAGCGTTGGTAGCGGAGGTATGCAAGAGATTTATTATTATCACCAAGCTACTACTATCGTGCATACCATACACAGCATGCATAGCAACCATGCATAGGTTCAAAGGTAAAAACTTTGAAATCATTTGTATGTGAGCACAACAATTCTAGTGCTTTATGCCTGCTTATCACATTACACATATTTATATACTTATAAATGTTTACAGAGATGAAAACGGCCAGGAGCAAGACGACGATATAATTTTTGAAGATTTCGCTCGATTGCGACTAAAGGGAGCCGACTCGGAAGCATGAATTCAGCCCATCTACGCGCTTAAGGCATCGCACACTGCCGTTTACCATGGACAAACACTGTGGGAATGGTTACCAAATACGTTTTAAGCAGAGGTGTGCGACGCGTCAAGTGAGACGCACAATACTATTGCAAACAATATTTCATGATCATTTTCAGTCCCTGTACAGTGTATTATGTGTTGAGGATTTGCCTATTCCGCCTTCCGCTTAAAACCGATTTCATGGTAAACGGGGCTGCTATTATAATTAGATTTGAACTCTAATTATTATGTCGCACAGTTCAAAGTCATTAAAAGAACTATGGTATATTGGAGATTGGAGTTTTCGATAAGGCGGGGCAGTTGTATGTTACATGTACACATAAGGTTAAAATAGATTGTATTTTTTATTTATAACTGTAATTTTTTATGCTGTTATGACCGTAATGTGTGCATGTATCATTTGAGAATTATACTAAAGAAGTTTTATATATTATTCAATATATATTGTATGTGGAAGATTATTTTATAATTGTAAACTATCGATCAAATATGCAAGTACAATTTTGTTTCTCTAATCGTTATCATATGATTTTAGTTTTAATCATGTGACATGGCCATGAATTATTTTTTGGTAATATAAAATATAGTACAATGTAATTTGGTAATGTGCATTTAATAGTATAAAAATGTTTATATCACTTTAATGTGTTTTAATTTCAGAAATTATCGTTTCTAATTATATAATAACTTAATAATGAAATAAGATTAAAGTTGTTGATATTAACAAACCGGAAAATTTGATTGGATTGATGTGACTTCGTTCAGTTCATTTTCCAAAAGGCAGAAACTTGACGGAAAGTATGGTATTCATATATGTTTTTTGAAAATGTAAACAATTTTTTATTAGCAACACTTATCTTGTTCCATTCGTCATCATTTACATTCATTCATCGAAATCAAAGTCAAAGTTGTATTTCCAGACTACTGCAATAACCACTATTAAATACAATGTGGCATGAACCCAAGCACACGTTTTAGTAACAAAAACATGAGTGCAGAACATAACATTTCTACATACTTTATTAATGTAATGCAATCTTATTCTGTAAGTGAGTCTGGTGAATCTTCGCCGGTGGCCTTCAATACAGAATTTAATTGGTTCTTTAGAGGAGTTATATTTATCATGAATCATTAGAGGTTTAACGTTTGTTGACCATATTACATTATTTATGTAACGCAGTTAATAAGATCAGTCCATAACACGGGCCTCACCTAATGTAAAGCCCGGTCGCCGAACACGAAAGAATTTCGTACAATCACCTTTGTGCTTATTGTGGTCAAAAACGTTTTAAGATAAATTATGGATACCGATACGGAATGTTAATAAAACTAGTTTGAAAATGTCAAGATAAACTAAAGAATCGTTGCACAAAAACAAACCTTATTGCTATGGCTAAAAGGCTTACGATACGTAATGCCCGCTTATGTGCGAGCGAGACGGCAAGATATTGATGCATGAGCGACTAAGACGACGCGTTACGTTTATTGTATGAAATTCTTAGTGCTCGGCGATAACGATGGGCGTGAGGAAATTGCTTATATAATCGTCTTATGCCGTCTTGTACAAAACTACATGGTCCAGACCATTTTGTCGCTAAAGCTTGCGACACAAGTCTTATGAGGTCTCTTTTGTGACTAATGTACATTTATTTCGCTGTACAGGTAATAAAGATTTTGTAAATTTTGTGGCGTGAATACTTGTACATGTTAGCTTTATATTGCACAAAATCATTGCTCTTAACACTACTGTTAGCGCAGCTATAAGTCTATGCCACGTCCCGATTTTTTCTCCGAATCTGGCAAAATAACGCGCAAACAATGGGATTAGCAATTGAATGTGACCATAGTATTGCGAGGCGTAGGGTACAAATTTGTATTTTTTAAGAAATCCTTACTAGCTTAACCCATACTTTTAGGTTTTAGAACGATATTTCAAAATGTATTTCGATGTTAATAATATCTATTAAAGTTTACTTTTAAGAGAAAATAAAATTTGTTGTAAAAATTTGCATTGGCTTAAAGTGGAAACTTTGTTTTGAACGAAACATCATGGCTCACATTGTTATTATTATACATATAAATTTAAATTTCACAATTTGCGCCTTCAACTCTGCAATGCATTACTTTTAGAATTTACATAATTATTTTGTTGCTATGTAATTGTATTATTATTTATATATTTTAAATTTAAATAATGATAAGTGTTGAATGGTATAAGTAATTTGTATAACTAATTGTATGTAGGAACAAATTAAAAGACGAAATAGAACATGACTGTTCATTATACTTGAAAGCCAAGTACAATTAGCCGAGTTTGTTTTTTGATATTTTAAATCAGAGGCTATTTTTTACACTCCTGTTCACAAATAATTAAAGTTTTGTTTACAACGACAAAAATGATACTACAAATTGTAAAAGACACAATGCAGCGTTTATTGATTCTTCCGTCTGGTATAAAAATAATTATGTTACTAATGTATAAGCTGTGGTCACGCTATGAGTTTAAATTACATGGCTTATTAAATTTTAATTTACGTAAAAAAAAAAAAAGTTTTCGTGGTAAAGATAGTCACGAAACTTACAGAATAATAAACATAACTTGCGCAACAAAATCTTTTTTAATTTTACATCGAAACTTTTTGATGTATACTTTTTCAATAAATATGTAATCAATAATAACTGGTTTTTATTTGTGCTTGATATTTTTTCGCATTTGGAGTTGGTACATCACCCATGCAACTCAAATCTCCCTAACACCTCAATGTGCTAAATATCTAAAAATAAGAAACCTTAACCTCTCTTCGTCATGATAGATTTGATCTTCCCAGTAGTAGCACAATGTAGCTTTTAGTAATGTTACCACCTTCGTACGTTGTTGGACTCGGACCTCTCTTCATTTTTAAGTGGATTATGAAACAGCAGTTCATACGAGATAGAGCAACGCTGAAGCGTATTATGACTGCAGCATGAATGTATCCTCGACCGGGGTAGGATCGCGATCGCACAGGATACCAGCGTGAAATAACGTGCTTCATATGGTGAGTGACGAGAGCTGGAGACCTATTGCTGGTAATGAGGCATTAAATGTGTCCGGTTCATCAATAATATCAGGCTTATTTGCAAGAATTGTCCTATCTGTGATGATGGCGGAGACCGTATATCTGTATGTTTATAGGTTGCCTGTGCAAATACTCAGAAACCGCCGAGCAACCATTGACATGCCTAAGTGACGCATTGGGCTGGCGACGAGCTCGACAGATGTCGACTGTGCTATCCTTTACGATGTATCTCCGACAGTTGTTGGTCAGTGCACAGACAAAAACCTTCGGTTTCCCCAAGAATGTCACAAAACTGTAGCCAGTGGAGGGAGGCGACCGCGTTTACTAAAGCTTCATGTAGAGCCTTGTAGAATCTCCCGTAAAGCTATTCTCTTTCCCGATTTCCTCCCGGTCGGAGGCGCCCTGTACTGCCGGGTCTTGCTGTTACTCGCTGCCTAAGGATAGAGAAATAAGCCCTTTATCACACATAATGTAATCATCCTTGTAGAATGACCACATCCTCGTTAGGAAGTTACAGAGTCCGCACACTGCGATTGTACATGACGAACGCTACCATGCTTCCGCGGCAAATACAGCCTCGCCTCATTCATCATGATGCATTCTGTGGGACCTCCAGGTTTGTTTCCCTCTTTCGCCTCTAACGACACCCACGGGACGATGTGGGACAGTGAACATTCTTACTCCACTACTATTTGGTCAACATTAGGGTTGTTTCAGTCATATGTAGAATCATTTCTCTATCTATTTTTATACGTGGTGGAGCCATGCTGCAGCTATATTCTGGACCGCCAGACCTAATATCAATATTTTTTCCCCGGACGCCACGCGCATTTTTCCCTAAAATTACAGTTCGTTTCGGTAGTGATGTACTATGCAAAACTATGCAAAACTTTTATAATAAAACTTATTAAACTTGTAAGTTTGGCAATATTACGAAGAAGTACAGAAAAGATTCTGATCAAAATAAGCAATAATACATTAATATGAATGTTATCTCACCTATCAATAAAGATTTAACACCAAAATGTTTTTAGAATGTAAGAGGGATCAAGAATTTTAGCGCAACTAGTTGACGCCTTAAAGCGTCACTGGTGACCTCAACGTGTATTTTTAACAGATATTTCCTACATTTATAGTGATGTAAGTGACTTTATCGATGTAATAATATACTTTATAATATACATTAACAAATAGCACCGAAAATGTCCCTAATTTGGACTTTTTCTACAATCAATTTTGATTCTATTCTGATTTTCAGAAAACCTGAGTTTTGCATCTGCTTTGTTCTTAATAACGACTTTATTTTTATTAGGGGCGCCTTGTCATTGCCTATACTTGCAGCACCTAATTAGGACTTAATTCCTTGATATTAATATTTATCGTATACCTATCATCGTCACTGCGTTGCTAGCGATTCGTTTTGCTAGCTGCGCAAATTTTAACAATTCGTTGCGGTGAAAACTTTAGACCACCTAATTTTTAAACTTGGTACCTAATTAGCACCTAAAATCCCCTAATTTTGGGTTATTCTAAACGCAAATTCCTGACTTGGCGTTGCTGGCGAGATACAACTAATTTCTAAACAGTCATTTACTACAATAATATTATCTGTTTATAGAGTAAATTTATAAAAATATAATAATTTCATTCTATCTTCAAATCCCATCACTACCAATATCCGCTGAAGCGCTTGTGACCTCATAAGCGGGCGCTTTAAGTCGTCGATGGCGTGCGCGGAACATAAAAATATGTCATAGATAATGAAGGTCGATTTAGTTATCGACTTTTATTTTTTCTATTTATACGAGTACATAAACAAAAACAATGACAAAAATTGATGATGGGGACTACCGACATTTGCATAAACATAGTTGCATTTGCATAAACTCGATTTTCGGCT